AGTGTATTGGATTCATTGCGCTCTGATTACAGGCTTCCTCAATCTCTGCCAATGAGAACGAAGTGTATTGGATTCTTTCAACATGGAAAACGACACTCCACAAAGTTCCAATTGGTAACTAGTTTTGTTCTTTAGCTGTTCTTCGACCTTGTGGTCTCACTTAAAAACAACAAAACTAGCAACTGCTTTTGTCTTTCAGCTGTCCTTTCTAGTTTCTACTCCAAGAACGTACATCAATCAGATCGACTTTATTTCAAACTATGCCATCATTATGTTTGCCCAGAGAGAGCAACGAGCTTGACCAACTATTGACCAACGAGGTGAAGTTCATAATATTGCATATACTTGTGGATTTTGAAGGACGGAGTTGAAAATTTGTAGTACTAATTGAACATCACTGTAATTATAGGTTGTTTGCAACCAGTTTCCTTTTTATTGTGGTCGAGATGCACAGGTTGAACTACCTCGACGATCATACGAGTTATATGTATATGTAAGGCGCCCCTCATTTGTTTATGCATCATAGAGTGATACCTACTAAACAATGGCGTTGAGGCCATTTGGCCTCGACCAACCAATTCATCGAACACCCCCACAAGGGTTTCAAGAACTTCACCACTTCAACATGCGCCATCACTAAACCAATCGACCTCTGTAGTACCATTGTCACTAGTTAAGTCTACGGAGCAATGGTGCAGTACATGATGTGGTGTCAAAGTTTATTCAAAGATGGGGTTCCATTGATGTGTGAATCTATGCCAGTTTCTTCGACATTTAGCACGATTAAAATTACTGATCTGGGTAATTCAATAATTTCACCCCCACACTTTCAATGAGGGTGTGAAAAAGCTAACAAACCACCAAAGAAACAACCCCACATATCAAACTTTTTTTTCTAGGGTTCCACAAACAACAACATGATCTCTCCTTGTCTCAGTCCTATATCTTCTTGTCCCCATGCCCCATGCTACAATACAATACCAGCTTTAGTTTGTTTTGTCAGCACACTTCCTTTTCCTCTCCATTGGAATTCCCCAATTTCCATGACTGAAGACCCCATTTTGGCTGTTTTTGTTGAATTGAGAATAACAATGAGAATTTCACTTCATCCCTTTCGAGTTTTCCTTCCCTTCAAGCGTCTCATATGTTTTGTCCTCTTCAATGGTGTGAAACGAAGAGAATGTATCGAGCTTAGTGCTTGGTAGAAAAAGGAGTTCCTATGAAGAATATATATATAGCACAATACTTAAAAATGGGTAGCAAGTAAGTAGGGAACACAGCCCGGTCAAACCGATAAACCTTAGTGTTGACGGATTCTGTGTTGTGTGCGAGTTTTACCTGTTTTTTGAATTGGCGGATGCCGGATTGGGTACAATTCGCATTTTGTCAAAACCTAGATCGGTTTTTTTTTACTTGACATGCAGTACTCTTACAGTAAAGTGACTTCGTTTTGTATCTAAAACTAAAAATATGAATAATTTATATATAGATGGAAAATAGTCTTCTTAATAATAAGGATAGTTTATAGATGTCATTAATCTTTATGAAAATATAGCCGTGGGAAAATCTTTGATAATATAAAGATGTGGATATATTCAGATATTTGCGGTTATATCCATAAATCATGGGTAACCACACCTGTCGCTACTCGTTGGATTGAGTTTTTCTATTCCGCAATCTAACAAATATTTTACCGAGTTTTTTTTGTAGCAGGTGTACTCGATGGATTAGATTTGGAGAAATAAGACCTATTGACATCCTAAAGGATGTGTTTGGTTGTTGCAAATTTGAAATAGCTCGGTGGGGAGCAAGGAAAGGGACGTTTTTGTTGTATATGTAATATGTTTGAATGATTGGGTTTGAATTCAATCATGCATGCTCCACACAATACAAATGGAGAAGAAAAAGCAGTGAGAAATGGACTAATTAGTGCCTTAATGACAATATATTAAGGATAACGATAATCCACTGATCGAGATTGCTTGTTAGGAGGGCCACAAATCAGTAAAGATTAATATGATAATCATGCCAAGACAAAAGGGTTAATGTAGCTCTCCATAATGGGATTAGTTAGTTAGTTAGTGTTTAGTTCTCACTACTAAGCTAAGTAAAAAAACATCGTGATTGAATGAGTAATAAATTTTTTGGATAATTATCAATGTATTTCTTGGATAATTAGGAAATGTTATGCTCGACTGGGGATTATTAGGGAGATCCTTGAGACTTCCCATCTCATTCATGTTTTGTTCCAGCCAAGAAAGCGTAACATTAAAACGAATTGGATGGCTAGATCTTTTCTGAATCAGACTCTACCACAGGATTGGATTACTGTTATCAATCTTCTCGATCCTTTCTTGGCCTGAGGCCTTTGTATCCCTGATCTTATTGAGGAATAAAAGGCACATCTCTACTTCGTCAAAGAAAAAAAAAATGTATTTCTTGGATCATTGTCAACAAAGATAAAAACAGGTCAAGAACGAAACACGACATAATAAAAATAATGTTTGTACCCTGCCCTGCCTCGACCTACGCTACTACGAATCGAATACTACCTGCTTTCAATGAATGAAAAGAACATACCAAACAAATAAATAAAGTAATAAACCTCCCTGCAGAAACGCAAACTGATTGCGACTCGACCGCGTCTCGCACTAGAGAGGCAGTGGGGACCGGCGGGGCAGCCTTGACGGCGACTTGCGTCGGGGAAGTGCGCCCCCGGCCGGGATTATTGTGGAGCCGAAGCTCGCGTCGTTTTCCTCCGGCTAGTAGTACGTACCCCTTTAATTTGCTGCCGCCTGAAAAACAAAAACACGAAAGAATTCAGTACTGGAAGAAACTGCAAAGGAATCAGAAAATAGCAGCTGCAGCCTGCAGGGTTTTATGCTTACGCTTCTTCGGCGCCGGACGGCACGCGGGCTCAGTCTCCAGTCCAGCCACCTTATCTTAGAGCTACGTCGTTGTCTCCTCGCCTTTTTTCTTTCCCGTCTTTATTTCCGGTTTTGTGTTAAGGCCCTGTTTGTTTGTTTGTTTTTGGTTTTTGCTTTGGACAGTCAGGAGAGGAATTTAAGAAAAGAAAAGTACCATGCATGAATAGATTTGTGTTTTCTTTTCAATAAATTGAGGAATTCTTCACAAAGGAAGTTGTAATTTTTGCACTGGTTTATTTGCACCTCAAGTAGATAATATAGAGTACTTGAGAATTGAGATTTCTATCTCGTTGTATTGGTTCTTTTCATTGAACAATACAAGTAACTGATTCAACGAAGAAGAAAAAAAACTTGTATTTTCAATACATGCTAGTGAATAGGGTTTGTGGATATGAGGAAAAAGTTTATGCTGGAATTTTGAGGTTGAACATCAGCGAAAGTGTCACTAGGTTGTGATTTGAAATGGACTTGTTTGTGAACGTAAAAAAATGAGTTCTAATGCATTTTTTTTCGTGGGTCAGAGAGGTAGACTAACATATTCCAAATTTCAGTTAATTCAAAATATATAGATATAATTTTGTTACTTATAGACTATAGTACTCTCAGATTTACCATGATACTACAAAATAGGGTTATAGTATAAAACACGATTTTATTATGTAGTTTATCAAATATGCACACCTTTATTATTTTACGTCAAACATAATCTATACTTTAGAAAATTTATCAAACATGACATTCTATTAAGATTACTATTTCGGCTTACCCGGAATTGTAATGTCATTAATTATGTCCATCTTCAAGGATCAAACGCATACAGAAAATGTATATATCAAACTTGATTACTATAATCATTTTATGGTCCAGGTGGCTTCGCTTCATCAGTGTTCTCTTTTATTGGTGCTGATGAATGCTCTAGTCTTCATTTACCTTTTCAACTTCTGGTCTTTCTATTGCCAATACATAAAAGCAAATCTTTTTGGTCTTTTTATCGATAAAGCAAACAAATGAATAGTAAAATACAAGAGTAAATAGCTTGGAAAAGTTGAAATATGTTTGAAATAATTAAGAATGTTTGAAATATGTACCTCCAAAGCAATGTATTGACCATATATAGTTGAATAGTTCCATCACAAACAAACAAGATCACAAAAATAATGTACGAGCATACTTCAATGTGTTTGGTATGGTCATGAAGTACAAGGTTCGTCATAACAATTTGAATAATACACTTATTATTCACAAGTAACTGCATAACAACCATGCACGTTTCGCACTAAATCACCAATCAAATGCTGCAATATTAATTATCATGGCGGACTATGTAATTATCCTACACAATTACATAATTATCGATTTCATTTACATAATCGTCAATAGAGTACTCTCTCCAAACTATAGGGAAAACAAATTAAACTATATACATTCCTTCGTTTCAGCCATGTTAGTATGACAATTTCACCATGCACAGATGTAGTTTGTCTGTAATTCTTGACTGGATGGAAACCTCCATTAGCATTGTACAAATCCTAGGTATATTGAATATCCCTCGAGAACAAAATCAAAGGGATAATGTGTTTTGTCATTGAAATGCAATAAACCAAGAGCAGCAGACAACAAAATTCCAAATCCAGGACCCACTTGGAATGTTTCCATGTGTTTTCTTCTCTCCCTCTTTCTCTCTTTAGTCTATTATGACTACTGATTTGATTAAAGTTTCTGTCCACTCTCTCTCTCTCTCTCTACACTCATCCACCCACCAAAAAAAAGATAAAGCTGCCCTATTCAAAGTTCAAGCCCTCCATTCAACTCAAAACTCAGATTTCATATCATATACTCTCTTCCAATACCACCCATCTTCTTCTTTTTCTTCATCTTATTTTTAGTTATCTTTCTTTCCCACTAAAAGAAAAGGTTGGATCCAATCCCATCTTCCCTCCCTCCCTCCCTTTAGCCAAGTTTTTGTATTGTTGAAGATCCACAAAGCAAACCACCACCAAAAGAGAAAGGGGGAAAAAAAGCCAAGGATTAAAGGAAAAGAGAGTAGTGGAGATCAAGTGGAATTTGTAGATCATGATCCAAGAGCTCTTTGGGAGTGGCCTAATTAGTGGAGAAAGGAGGATTCATCCCATCACCACCAATGGAACCACCATTCTACCACCACCTCCTTCTTACTCCCACAACCATCATCACTCATCTCCATCACCCTCTCCTTCAACAGCAACTACATCCACCACCGCGGCTGCCTCTCTCGCCAACTCATCCACACCTTCTTCTTCTTCTTCATCGTCGACGACTCCTTCTGGAGATCATCAGCACCTGAGGTGCCCTCGCTGCGACTCGTCCAACACCAAGTTCTGCTACTACAACAACTACAACCTCACCCAGCCCCGGCACTTCTGCAAGACCTGCCGCAGGTACTGGACCAAAGGAGGCGCCCTCAGGAACGTCCCCATCGGCGGAGGGTGCAGGAAGAACAGGATCAACACCACTACCGGTCTGACCCCATCCTCCTCCTCCTCCTCCACTGCCAAGCTCAAGAGCTTGGCGGTGGAGTTTGGAAACTCATCATCATCATCCTCGTCCCCATCCCTTTTCGGGGCTAGTTTGTATGATCTCCATCATGAGTCACTCGCGCCATCTAGCCCTATCCTATGGTCTTCCCCACAAACCAACTCCCACCACCACCACTTCCTCTCCCTGTTGAGACCAACACCAAACCCGCGAAACCCTAATCCTAACCCTAGCTCCACCACAACTATCCAACCAACTTCTTCAAAACACGAGGGGAATCATGGTCTCGCCAACCTGTTCGGAACCAGTACCACTACTGCTACTACCACCACCACCCACTTGTTCGAGCCGTCGCCTACGACGGCTCGAACCCTAGGTGGGTGGGACTCCGCCTCACCAGTCAACAACAACAACAGGCAGCAACAAGCAGCTAATTCGCTCGGTCTTAACTATCCTCCCATTCCAATATGGATGGGGGACAGCAACGGGAACGGCTACCTAGTGGGCAGCGATGAACCGCATCATAATAATACAGGTTATGACGTTTTCAACGATGGTAATAATAACGTCGGATCTACGTCGGCGGGAGTTGCTTCTTCTTCATCGACGGTGGCTCCGGTGGCCGGAGGAGGAGGAGGAGGGTTTGTGGGTTACAGCTGGAATCCGGCAGCTTTTACTTCTTCTACTTCTGCCACTACTACAACTTCATGGTCGGATCTTCCCACCACCGCAAATAATGGTACCGCTTATCCCTAATTAATTATCAAGAACGGCGGGCGAGAGGGTTATTTCTTTCTTCTTCTTCTTTTTCTTTTATGGGATTTTCATTTATAATTTTCTCTTGAACTTGAACTTGATCTTTATATTGTGGGTGTTCAAGTTTAGAGGGTTCTGGTATATGGGTTACCTGTTAAATCTTATTTTCCTTTGTTTTTTTTTTTTAATTAAGTGTGAGGTGTGTTTCGAAGACTTGGATTATAGATTATGGGAACGATATATTATATGTTAATTTTGTTTATTAAATTGGGATGCACCGAAAATCTGTCAACATTTGATTGTTTAGGGTGCCATTTTTGACACCTCTCGGAGAAACAGAAACTCCAGTTCTGCAGCATTATAGACCAAGATGTAATTCGAAGTGAAATTAAGGACTAGAGCTAGGTTTTGATTATGGTTAATTATAAGAACATACACGTGTCTCGTGGCTCATTATATGCGATCAGATTATTGATTTATCTTGGTAGGCAAATTGATTACTTTTTGGTTGGGGGTCTTGCACGGAGGAATATATGTATTGGATAAATCAAAAGCTTTATTTAGTTGGTAATCGGCTTTCCAGACCATGATCATTTGGTTTATCCAGGAAAGGTGGGTGGTGGGTGGCAAATGGGCATGTATATGAATATATGGAGGAAGGATGACAATTGAATCTGGTATCCAATCCGATCTAATCGGGTAAAATATAGTATTGATGAATGTTAAATTTGGGCGTGAGTTTTGTCGAAATTCGACCTACATTTTACTGTTTCTTATATCCGAAAGGGAAACAAAACATCGTTTAGTATCTAACCCTGATTATATTATTAATTTCTAGATGTTATTAGTGTTTATAGGAATATAGTTCCGGTAAGATACATGAATAATTTATGAATGTTGTTAGTTTTTACCACAACGTACGTAGTTGTAGCGTAAAGTCTTCGATAATATAAAAATGTGAATGTTGGAAGAAATCATTTAAGACTATGTCCGTAAATTTATGTGTATCCATGCAACTCGCGGCTACCCTTTAGGTTTAATTGAGTTTTTACTTTCAAAATCCGATTGGTTCGAACGTCAGGTCACATTGGGTTGAATTTGGGTTTAAAGAAATCCAACCCAACTCAACCCTTGGTCATCCTAGCATAGAATAACCTTCCATGTGTATATATCGAACGTCGCCAACATTATTATAAGCAGGGGCGTAGCTAGAGTGTAATAAGGTGGTGCCATGGCACCCCCTTAGATTTGGAGAAAGAACAAAATATTAGTAGTATTAGTTAGTTAATGATTATATTTAAATCCTAAATTTCAATGTCAATCGTCAAATCCGCTAAATCACAACAAACTAATAAATTAATTTCATCTACTAATTTCTACATGAAAATTAGTTTCTATCAATGTATTTGCTTGCGAAAATAGATTTGATTTGCTACTATCATCTGTCAATGAACAACTTGCTTACATTTTATTCTACGAAACGATTGATCAGCCTTCACATCTAGCTAGTGAACTAAAGTAGTGAATGATTATTGGTGAGATATATTAAGTGTGAAATCTTGATAATTTGGCTGGTTCATATAGTTATAGAATAATTTCATAATATAAAACACGAGACCGCATATATAATTTGTTTATGGCACCCCATTAAATAAAATCCTGGCTACGCCATTGATTGTAAGGAGAAAGTTAAGTGTGATTGAGATCTAGAGATTTGTATGACAGGAAGAGGAGGGCCTGAGTTTTATATATAATATTCTCTGTCTGCAGAAAAGGTATAGGGGCGCGCCATAGCCTTTGAGGAAAGCGATGTTCTTCTGCAGAGAGCTATTCAAGTTACGTTTAAAAAAGAAGAGCTCTCTGTCTCTCTTCTTCTTTTCCAATGTCTCCAAAGAACAGAGGTGCAGCAACAGAATAATTGATTCTCTCTCGTTCTCTCATGTTGAGGGTTAAAAGATAGATTCCATCTGGCAGCTTTATGTCGAAGGGTCGAGTAGATTGGTTGCTAAAGCTAGTAGCATAGCATATGCATCTATAGCTGGTTTCTGTCTCCTACCTTCCATTTTCCGAGTAATATAGCCCTCTACAAAGTCTTGGATTACACGGAATTTCTTCTCTCTAAGGATAAAACTATCCCCGTTTTAGGTTCCAGATTTAAGATCGGTAAGACGAATTTAGTAATTTACAGCAAGAAAGAAGAATGATTTGTGGTGTGTGTTTGCTTCGCCGGCTGCACACATTCATCATATACTTAGGGGTCGTTTGGTTTTGGTGATAGTTAAACAAATGCATTGTTATCGATGCATGCATAATAAATATGCATGTATATATGAAAATTGATGTATTGTAGTTTACATCGTTTGGTTCATGTGATAGCTTTTGTAGTATTTAAATAAGACATATTACTTTTTGGATGAAATGTCACTTTTATCCTTTGTTTTTAATATTAAAAAAAACAATACACATTAAAAGGTAGGGACATAGTTGGAACAAAAGAAAATCCAACAATCTCAACCAAAACTTGAGATTTAACTATCACTCATTTTGAGTGATAGTTTGTGTCAAATCAAGCAAACAATGTATGTATTATTTGTGCAGAAAATTCAAAAAAAGATGCATTATGAACAATGCATGTATTGTGACTATCTCAACCAAACTATCACCAAAACCAAACCACTCCTTAATTATAGTGGGTTGAACCCATGTATTGTTTTATGGAAAGTTGTCCTTATTTATGAAAATGCAATCATCGATAAATTAAAGGGATGTGGACCTTCATGGCATCAGGATATTTGATTAGATCGGTCTTATCCTCATGTTAAGAACCAGTTGGTCATAAACTCAAGTTGTTGAGAGATGTTCAATTATGAATTTTATATAATTTACTAACACGCCTCCTCAAATGAAAACCAACTTATATGAGTATGAAATTTGCACATATCTAAATACCCAAGTGCTTAACAAATAGTAGTTGGCGGAATTTGACCACATGATATATCCATCGGTTAACAAAGACTTTGATATCATTATTAAAATTGACATAAGGGGAAAAAATTAGTACGTTATTATGCAAGTTGTAGCTAGAATGATTAACATTTGGTGCACATAGGAGGAATGGCAGGTTAGCCAGTCAAGTCAACCAAAAGGAATCCATGTTCTTTTGCCTAGGGCATAGTAATTAGAAACCCTATCCCATGTTTCAAGAATATAATTGAGATTTGAGAATGGTGATTGTTTAGTTTGATCATTGCAAATCGAGTAAAATAGAGTTATGCGAAAGCGATCCTGATAGGTTTTTCTGAATAATGTAAGTAATTGGTATGATTACTTTGATTTCGAAAAGATTGTTTTAACCTTTCAAAAAAGAAAAGATTGTTTTAAGTAATGGAAAACAACTCATTAGATGGTATAGTTTATTTAATGATAAACAAATCGGGAGTTTAGTGAAATCACTACCATGTGTAGACATTTAAGAATATACTTATTTGAAAGAATTATTTTTTGAGGGAATATAATATTTTAGACAAATTTTGTTAGCTTTAACAAAATGCTAGTGAAATCACTAAAACTTTCATAACATTGTAAAATTTTAGTCATTGATATATTATCGTTAATAATGCTCCAAATGAGCTATCACATAATATTTTTTAAAATATATTTGTAGGAAATATAATTTATTAGCAATTTTTTCAATTTTGACAAAATATTAGCCAATATCTTTGAAAAACATGCATGGTGCAAAATTGTAAGAGTTTTCCCAAAGTGTGAGCAACAAGAAATCGTCACGTCACTCAACCTTTCGTAACTTCTTAATTAATTTAATTTTGAATAAAACCAATCGAAGAAAATACAAAATCACAATCCACAACAACCACAGACAAATAGACAAAATCTTTTTCTCCAACCCTTTCAAAGTTCCTTCGGCAAGTGAACCAGTACTAATCAACGTTCCTCTGGGTGACAACGACATCACATTTAGGTGCCCGGTTCACCCCAGGTGCCCGGTGTGTTGGGCGGTGTCGGAAACTATGGAGCATCTTTTCCTTGAGTGCCCAGTAGCGCGAGCTCTGTGGGATTATTCTGGGCTGGCTCACTCGGGGGAGGGATTTCCTCGTCATACTTTCCCGTTATTTCTCAAACGGCTTCTGTCAGTGATTCACCAACCTATGATGGTTATGGGTGTTGTGGCGGTCCTGTGGCGGATCTGGCGATCGCGGAATTGGGTTGTCTTTGAGGGCAAACAATTTGGGTTGCCAGCCCTGATGCGCCAGTTTCAACAGCAGTTTGAGGAATGGGTTCGTCTGCCGGTGGATAGTAGCCCGGTTAGTTCGCATTTGGTGCCGACTCCATTGGGCCGGGAGAGGGTCCACGGGGTTGTCTGCGGTTGGGATGGGGCTGTGCGGAGTGGTTCACACTCGGCAGGCGGTATGGTGATCTTCACTCCGGATCAGGCTGTTTTAAGAGCGATGGGGGTACAGTTTCTGTGTTTTGATGATCCCTTCGTGGTCGAGCTGATAACACTTCGTGAAGCTGTGCAGTGGTGTCAATCCCTCGGGTTTGCGGAGGTAGTCTTTGAGGGGGATGCGAAAGTTCTCATTGATAAAATCAATCACGCGGATAGCCGGGATAGTCGGGTGGGAGCAATGTTGGAGGAGCTCGTTCAGATTTTTGGCAGCAATCCTGGTTTTAGTGTTAGATTTGTTGGTCGGCGTAACAATAGGGTAGCCCATTTGGTGGCTAGAAAGGCCCTCTCTTTGTACCCGACGATGAGTCGTTCTTTTGATTTCCTGACCTGGCTTTCTTCCAGGGTGTAACTTTCTTATTGATCAATATATGGTTATCTTTTGTAAAAAAAAAAAAAAAAGACATCACATTCACTTGCGTTTGTAACTCCAAGGCGGTACAACCCCTCATATTACCAATTGTCATATCTTGTAAATCTTCACACTCTTTCATGTATCAAACAACAATCGTGCAATCCGCGATGACATTAAGATTCTCCATAGCAAACATCGAGGCTAGCTTCACTGAGAGAACCTCATCCCCATTTTGACAATAACATATCAACGACTAAAATTTGTTAACATTATAAAGTATTTGACTATTATTTTGTATTTGTAAAGGTTGCTGAGGTGCTGAAGAAAATAAGTTTATTACTATCAGATCAAATATGACTGTGAGAGTAGATTCCCCAAATCACATAAAATGAACTTTTACAAATTGAAGCTCACTCTGCCCCCTGGTTCCTCTTCTAATGTAAAACCCTATTCCTTTTTTTCCCTCAAACTTTTTCCTATTGGCAATTACCCCCTCGTAACTTTAAGGACAAATTGGGAGAAAAACAACAAACGTACAGTAGTAAAAATAATCAAAGAACCCTAAGAGTAGCAAGACGCTACTACACTGGAATGAAGACACATTCCCTTCCTTTCCTGTCCTTTCATTTCACCATTCATCCATCTAAGCCTTTTTGACCAAACCACAAAGCAAAACATTTGGTGGTGGATCAGCCTCAGTGAAGAGACTCTTCTCGTCATTCCACACTCTCATATACAGCTGCTGCCCTAGGTATCTCCTCGACCAAATTGCAGACCTCAAGTTCCACATCCCCTTGTTGTCCAGTGACACCAGTATTGCTGTCCATGATACTGGATAAACCTGTCACATTTGGACAAAAGATAAAAAGTTATGAGACTTCAGCTCATCTTAATCATTCGAGTTGGTGAGGGAGTTACGAGAAGGGATGTGTCAAGGAAGACTCTAACACAATGTCTGAGAGCTAGTATAACCTATACCATTCCCTTATACCGAGTAAAAATTTGGTTTCTGATATTTGCTTACCTGAACAGTGTGTCTAGGCACTGTATCAGCAAGATTGTATCTTCTCCTCATTGCAGGTGTCCAGGGCCCGTTTCCATAACTGCACAAGGTTAATTTGTGGTTACTTCGAGTTGTGGGTGAAATGGAAGAGTGACCCTAAATTCAGGGCAACTGTGGTTCCTTACCCAGCAATGTAGAAACTGGATCCATCCATGTGATATGACTGGACCGTGTATTCTGAGTTCTGGAAGATGATCTCCACAAAGTCATGGAGTTCGAATGCAAGGACACCAGGAGCAAGAACAGGAGTGGTATTGGTGGGCATATCTGGGACAGAGTTCATCTTAAACACACCAGGGATGTTATACCAATCAGCAAGCTTCAATGGTGTGGGTGGGTCAACATGGGAGATGCTGTTAATAGCATAACGCAGTTTCCCATTGACCTTCTCTGCTGTGTTGGTCAGGAAGATGGTCCTCATGACGTTGATGGTTCCATAATGGAATGACCCTTGAGGATTTGGCCTGGCTGCATTTGCTGTCAAATTCAACCTGCATAGTTGGAGTCCAAAAGAGTGATTCAGCAGCCAAGAAATAACCTTTTTTTACCAGTTGGTCCCCCTTTAAATGGCAAATTGGTTAGTCAGCCCTTATTTTTCTTCCTTTTCACCTGATAGTCCTAGCTTGCTTCATTGACCAGTGGAGATGGTAAGTTGGTCCAACTGGCAATGGCTTAGCAGCTGGTGTGTTGGAGCCTGCATACTTGAGAATCGCAGTGGTGGTGAGGATTGGCTTGGTGAAACGTGAGGAAGCAACAATGAAGTAGTCCTTGGTTAACGGTGCGTGTAATCTGACCAACACAGTCACAGATTGGCCAACATGAACATCGAGGGACTCGTAGATTTCTTGCAACGTATGAGCACCTTCAACTTCGATGAGAGTCATTGTATGTCCCTGGATCCTGAAGTTGATTGCTACTGCAACACCCACATTGGAGATCCTGAACTTGTAGAGCTTGTCTGATACATAGTGTCATTCAGTTAGATGAAAAACCAAAAAACCAGCACCAGGAAAGTACACCGTTAAAGTGTGGATAGTACTATTAGAACTACTGTGTCATTAATCAAATCATACTTGCTGAACAGGCCTAGACTCCTAATCTTTGTCCTAGAAATTAGTTATTATGTAACTTATTATAGAATTTACATATTTTCATTTATATATCAAGGAAATCAATCATTATACTCTATAAAGTCTCAAGTCTTTCAGGAATTTTTTTAATGATTAAAATATTTTTTGATTTCATTAATAAGATCATGTAAGATCTTATTTTCTACTTGCAGAGATGGACCAGGATAATGAAGGTATTACCTTTCTCCCCTGTGAACACAGCTTGGCCACTAGGAAGTCCATTGATGAGAAGACCATCAGGAAGCGGGAGAGGAGTTCCCTGGTCAAGGCGTTGCTCCAAAATCTGCCATAAAGTGAGTTGGACTCTATCAGCAAAATGCTTAATTAACCAATGTATCAATAAACACAGGAAAACGCAAAAAATGGGAGAAATGTGTGCACAAACCTTGAAATCGGTGTTGTACCAGTCACTGACAAGCACGGTGAATTCTTCAAAAGGTTCCGGGTAAGGTTTGGAAATCACTGATCTTTGGTTGACGTTGAAAGCTCCATACCCTCCAGCAACTCTTTGCATTCCGATCGAAGGGAAGTAGTTATATGTTCCAATCTGATCCTTCACTTGGAACTTGTAGGTCCAGTTGGAGTTTGGAGGGATTGGACATTGTGTCCCAAGAACTCCATCTTGCCATGGAGTCCTCCTTTGTTTAATCCCATTCCTGAAAGGATTCCCCACATCAGTCATTTCCCAAGCTCAGGACCCATAAACAAACAAAAGCCAACATCATTATCTGAGTTAAAACGTACCATGTTATGAGGAAAGGGACGTCCAACTTGTTAATGACATTTACTAGGACATTATCATTTGTCACAGCGTCAATAGTCGGGCCAGGGAATTGGTTATTGATGAGTATAGCCTGCAGCATAAACGTCTAGTTAAAGAAAGAAAACTTCAAAGAGTGAAAAGAGCAAAGTAACCGCAGGAAAAAAAACAAACAAACACTTACTCGTTGAGGAACATTTAGAGGAGAAACAGTCCCATAGGTGATTTCCCAAGTGTAATATATGTAAGGGTCCTCTGCTTCCACCCAAATCCCACTCATCAAACACACCATCCCGAGACAAAAACACAGAAAACTGGCCTGACCCATCTTCAACATTGAGAAACTACCCTCTCAAGAAATGTGGCTCAAGATTTGGTTGGGATTCCTCAAAGGAGTTGAGGAAAGGAAAAGCTGGTTGAAGCAATGAGTCGAACACTTGGTGGGCAAACTTATATAAGAGGATTGGCTGAAGCAATGTACTGTACTTGCGATCAAACCCAGACGGGGGATTCAAGATCCTGTAGTTGCCAGCATGGACACGAGCGATCCCTTTGGATCGCAGCACATTTGCGGCGCACTTCATGCTCGTACGAACTCCCGATGTCACCACGCGGAGTCGCAACAAAAGAAGCAAGCTTTCGATTAATTTAAACATACCCAGTTGCCATATTGACCAGAATTCCTCGGAACGAGCACCGTGGCTCTGCCCCATTTGTAGTCAATCCTTATATTTTATGGATTTCGAACCGTCGGTGGTGGTGGTGGCGAGAGGAAGGCCACCGAAGGATGTAAGGCAGCGAGAACGGCGCAGGCGAGAGCGGATCTGGCATTAATTACAGAATTAACTCGCTAAAGCAACCTCCTTTTGTTTTTAAATCAAGCTGATTTGAACTGTAAGCAACTTGCGGTGCAGCAACGTGAATGGAGGAGAATGGGATTGCCAATGGTGTCTGGGTAATTAAGATGTGGTTTTGGGATTCAAATTTAACGTGCTCCACTACAATGAACTTTGGGATCAGTTAGCGTGACTACCCCTAAAGGGGTAGTGATTTTTGACACCCCCTTTATGATTGGCCAATTTTATTTCCAATCATTGGCAAGTATTAATTAAACTGATTTTTTATTTTTTTTAATCTTGTAATTTGGGGTCTCTCACCACATTGGAAAAGAGAAAGAATCTGGGGAAAAACGAAATCACCCCCATTAATTACATAATTAATTTCTCTCACTGGTACATTAATTACACGTACCACTCCACTGGTACACGTACCACTCCACTGGTACACGTACCACTCCACTGGTACACGTACCACTCCAATGGTACACGTACCACTCCACTGGTGCGAGCAATCCACAAGGTAGGTTAGAGTGAGAACAATACCAGTGCAATGATATTTTTCATAACAATGATAAACAATAATAGGGAAAAAATAGGAACTTTCCATTAGTAGCCAAAAACTGTGTTCCAAAATGGGTTGCAAAATTAGGGAAATGCCAACAACAATGCCAAAAGCAATAAATTATCCTTCGAATGTGAATAAACATAAAGTCTTCACAATTTTTTAAGCCTAAACAGGACATATGGTTACACGTACCACTCCAGTGGTACGTGTACCAGTGGAGTGGTACGTGTACCAGTGGAGTGGTACGTGTACCAGTGGAGTGGTACGTGTACCAGTGGAGTGGTACGTGTAATTAATGTACCAGTGAGAGAAATTAATTATGTAATTAATGGGGGTGATTTCGTTTTTCCCCAGATCCTTCCCCATTCATAATTACCAATGTTTTTCTCCTTCCCCATTCATAATTATTATCACAATTAAGGCTTTCCCAATTTACAAGATTACAATAAATAAAGTAAAAAGCTTAAATGGAAAAGTGACCAATCAAGAGGAGGGTGTCAAAAACCACTACCCCTTTAGGGGTTAGCATAGTATCCGACCCCATGAACTTTGATACAAGTCTCTTGGTTCTCTCCCCTCAGTTTGGTTTAGTTGGTTTCCCGCCAAAAAATCAACATTTTTTCTGTTCACGCTGTTGAAAAGTCGTTTAGTGAGTAGTTTCCTTTCAAGTATTGGTTGCTATTGCATAACAATAGTGGAGGGTGATATTCGGTTAGTCGGTTATTAGTTACATCGACAATGATTATTACTAATCATAATTTATAAGTTAATGGTGTAGTTATAGATAAGTTGAAATAGTTTACGGTGTAATCCATTCTCTAATAGTCGATTGACGGTTAACTGTCAACTAATCGAATATGAATATTTATGTTTTTCTTCCCAAAATGATAATGTGCCTCTCAAATAAATTCACGAATTTCAAACAAACAATCTCTTTCCTGCCAAGACCTTTTTCTTCTTTCCTTAATTTCCTCCTAATGCGAACCCTAAAATTGAAAGAGGCAAAGAATATCGTCAATTTTGTGATTGAAATGTAGTCATCAATATTATATTGTCAAGCTAAGATTACTTTTTTTTTAAACCGAGATAAACACCCAAAGCAAAGACTGTGCCTCAATTTTTTCCGTCAACAACAGCTCGCCTCGCCCAGTTCGCACTCATCACTCTTTTCTCATTCCTCTCTTGAACACATACATAGGTAGAGAAAAATCTACAAAATGCACAACTGAAAAATAGACAGGCCTTCTATTGATCCGGTTACTAATCGATTATTTTTGTTTAATACTGTCAAACAATTTGTTAAACGCTTATTTGATTAACCGACGATTAGAACCCTCCAATTTCCCCCCAAATTTTTTCTTTAACTCTCATGTACTACAGCAAAACTTATAAATCGGAATCTCTCCAATTTTTCACAATTTTTTTTTCCACCCTCTATTCTCCCTCTTTCATGGAGAGACGACGGTTAGAACTTAGAACCACAACTACTTGCCAATGGTATTGAGAAGCATACATAACACAGGCCACAGCTAGCTTTACGTAGCAGTTGGTAAACCGAGTACGATTTGCCAAGTTTGAGAAAGGAACAAAAAACAGAGCAAAGTCAACTGTTGGAACTTTCGCGGTGAAGGCCTAGTTAACCACAGACTGACTGAATCCCAAGGTTGGATCTCAAATTGGGAGAGAAAGTTGAGCACAAGCATGAATTGGATGAAAATGGCACATGCCAAACAGAATTTAAAGTGATTTGGACACTGCCTACTTCATTCCATCACATGTGGAATTGAATTCTGAGCATGTGCTTGTGATGAATGGGATTGGATGGATCTTGCTTCTAGTTTCAAAACAAAGCACTAACTAAATAGTACAGATTAGTGATAGACACTAGAATCCGAATCAATGGGTATCTAATCTCATTTAATTTTGTTAAAGTGTGGTAAAATATTAAAATCCAGTGTTGATAGGTCAGGTAAGGGTTTTAACCGCTTTTTGAAAATAGTGAATTAGGTATTGGTTCTGTCAAAACCCAACTCGCTTTCCACCGTTCCGTACGCAAAAAAGCAAAGCGACATACTTCTGTATAAATTGTATCTAATATGAACAATGTGGATAATTTATTTGATGTTAATGTTATTAGTCTTTATGTCCGTAAAACCTAACAATATGAATAATTTATGGAAGTTATTAATCTTTGTAGAGGTATATTTATTGAATTTTTTTTAATAATATTAAGACATGTGTACTCGCAGAAATAATTTATAGTTATGTTCGTGAACTCATGGATATCCATGCACCCGTATATAACCATTGAATTGGATTTACTCTTCTAAAACCCAATAAGTATTTTATCGGATTTTTTTTAATGGACGCACTCCTTATATTAGATTTGAATTTAGAGAAATCCGTCATCTTACCACAGACATATGGGGAACAACAGAAAACCATCTTCTGACATTTTAGCTTCAAGAAGAAGATCTGATGCATACTCCCTACATTTTTTTTTTTTTTGGTAAAGCATTTCCTTTGTTTAATGATCTTCTGGGTTTGGACTTTGGACTTTGAGTTGCATGCAGATCCATCTACCGAAATTGGCCCATTAAGCCGTTTCAGTGACTGGCCCAACACGAATTTCCCAATCACTGGCCCGGCAAAACGGGTTCTCCATTTCTTGGATTTGAAGTCGAGTCACTAGTGTGATGGGCCAGGTCTAGGGTGAATATTGGTGCAGTCTGACAGCTCCAAATCGCACCGTATTGCATATGCAGTTAAATCGAATTGTATCGTCAAACTTGTATTCTAGCATGCAGTCTACATTTTATGCGGTCAGCGGGTCAAATCGAAACTGCGTGGCGCAACTAACTCATGTTGTTCACATTTTTTCCTAAAACGAATACCGATAATTCATAGACGCAATAGCAAACTGCATACCGGCCTCGCATTCAACTTTCATATTGCATAACCACAACTATATGTTAGATTTGAAAGCTCTTTAATCATTTCCAATATCCTACTTTAATGGAAGCTCAGTACTGAATTTCATTATTTTGTATGAGGCAATTCAAAATGAACTTTCATTACATACACAAACATAGTAATTTTCATATCGTAATCAAACTATAATCACCTTCCCCTCAATTGAATGAAATGTTAAAAGTAAAAAAGAATCATTACATGTAGAGATCGTACTGTCAAACTTCTAAGCTAAAACAATAAACAATTCAACAAATCCAACATTGTTCTGTAACTGTGTTTTGTCTCAAATTCCTCCCTCAGTCTTGTTCTGTTTGTTTGTTCTCTTCATTTCCAGCCATCCCCTCATGGCCTAACTAAGAAGATCAGCATTAAACTCTATTCAGTATTCATTCATCCGATCAGCTTCTATGGTTTCCTCCCAGCAGCTTTGCCGCAGAGAAGAGCATTGGAAGGAATGTTGTATTCATTGGCAAGGCTTTTTTCTGCAGTCCAAACCCTGAGATAGAATTGCTGGCCAAGGTATTGCCTTTCCCATATAGCAGATCTCATGTTCCACATCCCTTGGTTGTCCAATGACACCAAGATGGCTGTCCATGAGTTTGGATACACCTGCAATGAACATTGGAGATCAGATCGAAGTTCATGATCGATCGACGATATTTCGTGTTGTAAAGTGGCATTCTTATTACCTGAGTGGTGTGTCTGGCAACAGCATCAGCAAGGTTGTAAGTGTTTCTCTTAGCTGGTGTCCATTGACCAGAGCCAAAGCTGCAGAATGTTCCAAAATAACAAAATTGGTCAAGAGTTGAGACCCTTGATTGGCATCTACTATAAGGTTAAGGAAAGAATTGGAATCTGGGAGTGTTTGAGAGGCCTACCCAACAACCCAGAAGGAAGAGCCATCTAGATGCCAGGACTGCATGGTGTTTTCGTTGTTCTGGAACACGAATTCGATGAAATCATGGAGGGAAGTTGGGACTACAGAAGTAGCAAGAGTTGCAGCACCAGTAGTTGGAGTAGTTTTGAGTGAGTTCATGCTGAAAACTCCAGGGATGTTGAAGTAGTCAGCAAGCTTCAATGGAGTATCGGGGTTTACATACGAGACCCCATTCACCGCGTAGCGTTGCTTCCCGTTGATTTTGGTTGCTGAATTGGACAGTACAATGGTCTTGGTTGTTTTTATGGTTCCATAATGGAAAGATCCCTGAGGGTTTGGCCTGGCTGCATTTGATGTCAAGTTCCACCTGCAATTAGAATTTAAATTATGACTCGAATGGTAGCTTGTTCTACAAGAAACCTTTAGAAATTTTTTTCCTTCTTCAACTTACCTGTAAGTTCTGGCCTGCAGCATGGAGCCATGAAGCTGGTAAGTTGGCTCAGCAGGTAGCGGTCCAGAGACCGAAGTTTTGGAGTTCGAGTAGTGCAGAATGCCAGATGCAGACAGCTTCCTGGTGGTGAAACGGGTCGATGCAACGATGTA